TTATTATGAAATGAGGGCAATTTAGTCAATTTACATGATAAAATAAGGGGAGGGGTCAGAAAACTGAGGTGGAGGGGTCATGAATAAGTAAAAATCAAAAGGGGGTCAAAAATCCAGAGTGGTTATTGAAAGGGGTCAAAAATCTCAATTTCCCATAATGCAGTGGAGTTAATAATTAATATTAATATAATTAATGTATTAAATAATTATTAATCTAATTAACAATTAATTAATATTAATAATTAATTAATTAAATGTAATATTAAATAATTAACAATTAATTATTTAACATTTAATTAAATATCTCATATTTAATTAAACCATATTCTCTCTTGTATAACCTATAGATTTAATGTACATTTTATGTGCATTAATTTTTAACCTATAGTTTTAATATGAATCATATTCATATTAATTTTATTTGAATCTCATTCAAATAATTTCTCTCATAATATATAGTTTTTAATTTATAATTAACTATATATTATAATTTATCAATATACATATAATCCCTTAAGAAATTTGAACAGTTCAAATTCTTCCAAAAACTTGATCCTCGTTTTACCCGTTATGAGCTAGCAAGGGGACCTAATGGACCTACAGATCCGAAGCTACAACGATACGAGATTAATCGGTCAAACTCATTGACCGAGTTAATCAACATTCGTTAACTACGAGTCACTCCACTAAAGACCTGCAGTTGCACTCTTCTCACTGTAGAATGTTTTCGTGTCCATGGATATACGACCATTAATGACGAGTCAATCCTTCACGAGTGCTCGTAACTCAAGTTGGGTCAAATTACCGTTTTACCTCTGAGTTACATCTTTCTCCTTAAATACCACTGCTCCTCTAATGAACAACTCGGTTATGGTCCGACCAATAACCGGAAGTCCCTCTCGGGCCAATGAGAGGGTGGGGCCCCTTGTTCAAGTCCCGGAGTCAACATTTAAGAGAACACTCATCTACTCCCCTAAAGTCGGGGAGGAGTGAATTCCATCTTGTGAAGTTATGTTTCCAGCTCCCCACTTGGTCTCGTCCCCAAAATAGTAAGATTATTGAGTCGGCAACTCGGGCCACTCTCACCCATACAGATCAAAGGACGAGCCATCACGGGCAGGACTCCATAACTCACTCAGGATTGAGAATGAGTTGCCTGGTCATCCTAAGAAACAGCAATCTATTAGTTAATGGTGTTACATCTAAAGATTGGCTATTTCGTGGTCCGATCTTATAAAAACTCATTCTATAGGATACCCTCACTCGCATGTCTCCACACGAATGACTTGGATCGAGTCGTCTGTAACCTTTACAGAGTGGGCCGTATCCATAGTGTTGCCAGGATAAGATACCCAGCCTTATCCATATACTATAGACCCTTTAGGTTATTCACGGGACATTATCCACTTGTATATCAGGATATATCAAATATATACCTCGTATATCAGGGGTATATCAAATATATACCCAGTATATCAAATATATACCCAGTAAATATACTGTCTCAGTTACACTAAAATAACCTCGGATGTTTAGTTTATTGGATTTTGGACAATGCAATGCTATGAATTCAACAACATATTTATTGAATAAAACTTTATTGAATATACATTTGTTTTTACACAAAATACAAACTACGAGTTTAGGGCAACACACCCAACAGATGGCGAGAAGAAGATTTGACCAGAAAGACCATTTAGCACTGCGTTGTTAACTTACAGTTTGAATAGGATAGTTAGAGTTGTTTCTTTGTGGTTTGAGTCTGTTATTTGATTAATAATGGGGTTGTCAAGTTTCATGATCAAAGGATGTTTTAAGGTTACCAATTCATTATTCTTTTTAGAACATTAATCTTGTTAGCTACTTGAACCGTGAGACTGTAATCTACTTATGATACTTATGAATACATTTGTTTAAGTTGAACTTGAGTTAGTTTTTACTTCGCTAGTATTCTAGAAATTAAGATTCGTTTAGTGGATGATTTATGATTAGTGAAGGTTTCATTGAGAAGATTTTATAAGGATGGTTTGTTATTAATTTATTAACTGCAAAGAATTTGAGTTTTGGTTAAATAGTTAGCATAGTTTGGTTGAATTGTGCAAGCCTTTATAAGTGTTATTAAACAGAGTAGCGTAGTGGAAGTGTGGTGAGAATTTGTCATAGTTTGTATTGCTAGTTGTTTAATCCTTTAGTGCGAGTGGTACTCTTTAGGTAGTTTTAGTAACGGTCCTCGTTTGGGATGTTGAAAATCCTGGGGCGTTACAGGGGGATCTGGTCCTCGGGTTGAGGAACTATTTCCACAGAAGGGCCCCTATCAGCCTTGGCAGACGGGCCCAGAGATACAAGAGTCGCAGAATTGATCGAAGCCACTTCCAATGCTGGCCATGCCGCCCGGAGAAAACTGGCCAATCTGAAGGAGAGGTCGAATTACGAGTTCGCGTCTTGTGGGCGAGACTGATGGTGGCTTCGTTCTTGTTGAAACCAGTACGATCAGATGGACGGTGTTTGGCTAGCCTTTCATTCGTTATAATAAGAGTAGGGACTCTTTGGCCCAAGGAATTGCAAGAATCTTCTTCAGAACGCTATCCATCCAAGAGGCGACAGGAGGGGTCCTACCCGGGAATATTACCAAGGAAAATCAGAAACTCAAAAGGCCATCATAGCTGATAAAGAAAGTAGAGATAGAAGATTTTTGTAAGAACATATCTTGCTTCCTAAAGCAACTGAACACGCGTTCGGCCACCGGACTGTCACTGACTAGCCACTACCCATCGACGAAGAACCAGTGATCCTTCCAGTTCATGTTCGAAGTCGGAGCATTGAAGAA